AGAGAATGACGTTTACGGCTCGGTGCGGTCGACCTAGCGCCAGTAAAACTTGAGAAGAAATACAAGCGAAGTCCGCATCGACAGTTAAAGTCATACGCGCGAAAATACAGCCCGGTTTCTATGAAATACGACGTACCTACCTACCTTAGACGAGCGACGAAGCCACCGGGATCTTTACTCAAGATACGTGCGTCTCGTTAATAAAAGGAATTCTCAAACTCTTACTAATTTCATGAAGTAAACGATAAACAAATCCTTCGGAACATTGCTGTATCAGTTATTTCATATACCGAGCTTTCACACATACACATTCCTTCATAATTCGTGTATTAAATGAAAAAGAGAAATAATTAAAGGTCTTTTTGATATTGTCTTTTTAAAACTTTATAAAGAAATAAAATCTTTCAAAAATACGTACAATTTTGAAAAAATAATATAAACGAAGTAATTGTAACACTATCTATAAATTTGTCTATTCAATTCAACCTGTTTATCTCTCTTTTCTTGAGAATATTTGGTTATTGTCTTTAAATAAGTATCTCGCCCTCAATCGGAAATTTAACTCACTCTTTCTCGAATAGAAAGGCATTACTCGAAGTATCCACGTTGATTTTACGAGCCACCCCTTCAGCCTCGGGCGAGAGGTGGAAAGGTGCCAAAGAGGTGTTAGAAGCCGCGAAGCACTTTACCGAGAAACGATAAACCTCCTTCACTTTCGTCTCCACCTCGTCCGGAAACGTTCTGCCCGTTTTCATTTTAGATACGTTCTTGTATATGTCTCTCATTCTCTTTTTCTTTTTCGGTCTCTTTCTTTCTTCCTTTCTCCTTAGACCTCCTTTACGATCGTTCGAGAAGTCAGAGCGCGTTCTAGAAGCCGCCTAGATCATCTAAAGGAAAAGATTCACTGGAAAAGTGGGCAGCAACATCTATTGTACTATACAATACTTTTGAACTTACTATTTGAAATGTTATCTTTCCTTTTTTTACTTCTAACCTTTTTATTTGTTTTTCATTTTCATAGAAACTTCACGTTTGTCGCGAAAAAATAAAAATTGATTTTAATGAAAGAATTTAATTTAATTTAATTTAAGAATTAATTTTACTAAAAGCTGTACGTTAAAAATTGATATCTTAATTCTTCATGTTTATAATACATGTTGCATCAGCGCCTGGTCTTGCAGAAAAGAAAACCAAGGAGACAGAAAAACAGAAAATCAACGACGACACGGATAATGTATAGATAATATATAAATGTATTTGTATATAAGTAAAGACAGTAGGGACGGGTGACGAAAATGTTGCCCACGCATAAAAAGGAAACCCAAACATCGTAAAGCTTCGGTATTTTTAAAGACACACCTAAAGACGCATGTTCTTGACTGTATCGCCATCGAAGTCTCACAGAATTCTTCCTGTGCACAAGATTCTTCACTTTTATTATTTATATAATTCCTATCTTGATAGTCATCTTTATAGGAAATAAAAAGGATAAGAAAATCCTCTGTTCTAACGCGTGTATTTATGGTTGTAAATAAGATATATGTGTATGTATAGGGGCCAATGAGAAAATTTGCCAGTTAAAATTTTTCCCTAGTATTCTATTAACGACCTTCTCTTTTTCTCGATAATAAATCATTATTCTTTTCTTTGGTTTGTCGTGAATCTGTTTAATAAAACAATATTCAACGATCTATCTTGATATTAAAATAGAATGGAAAATATTGATGAACTTTTGTGAACAGGTAAAACAAGTTAGAAGTATAAGATGGAAATAAATAGAAAGAGAAAGAGGTAGAGAGAAAGAGAGAGAGAGACAGAGAGAGAGAGAGAGAAAGAATGCACATCTTAAAGATCACGTAGCTAAGGAGATTGCAAGGCGGATAGTTGTAAATTATACTTTTATGAGGCATCCCATGGTCAATCGGGAGAACAGGACAGCTTTGAGAAAGAGTGGATCATGAACTGTGGACCAATGCTTGCCTCTCTCTCCTAAACCTTACTCGCTATTTTCCTTCCTTCATTTCTTTTCTTGAGCTTCGAATGTTCGCCAGACATTGATCGGACTTTTACGAGTTTGTAATTACGACGGTCAATTCAACTCCGAAGTCCACTTAAAGAATTCTCTTCAATGATGTAGGCACGATAAATTTGTATTTTTGTGTGAGTGAGAGGATTAGAAAAAGAGAATTATTTCTTATTTTTAGTATTTTCAATTATTATTTAAATATTTGTATCAAAGGAAAAATGAAAAGCCAATATGTATCTGTGCATATCATCTATCTACTTATATACGTTAATCGTTCGTTTTAAAGAAGTTCATTTTTCGTAATAACTGCTAAGAGAGTATAACGATAAAACTAAGAGAGAAGCACGCTCTTGTCTTTACCACCCTTGCATCAAAGTAATCGTTGATCGTTCGGTTTTACTGTCAAGGAAATAATACTTTCGGCAATGTTGACGGGTTAAATATGTGTAACATTTTAATGGGCCAATTTTGCGTTAAAGTTCCAAATGTTATGAGGAATTTCGAAGTCTGTCGTTTTCATAGGATAACCTGTGTGACATCCGTTTCCCTATCTGTCTTTCAAGGTAGCAACCAGCAGCCGAGATCGAATAGCCTGTTAAGAGATTAATATTCGGAAGAACGAACGAGAGGTATGTTAAAAGGTTGGGATAGAATTAATGCCTGACCGTGAATAGCAATCCCTGTCGTTTTACGTCCAAGCGCGAATACTTTTTACGGTCGTCAATAAAGTTATCACGATAAGGGTCGTTTGAGGAAGTGACAATTTGTATTTGTATCTTCGATTTAACATTGTCTATCATTAGCTAAAATAGAGAGAAAAACAATATGATATTTAGTTTCTTCTTTCTTTTTATTTTACTTTGTTTTTTTTCCTTCCAACTTATTCCATCAACTTGAAAAAAAAGAATCAACATTCAATTTTAATGTTTTAAGTAAACGAGCAAATGTTATCTCTCTTTTCTTTCTTTATCTTTTTCTCTTATATAAGAGAAAATAATTTTAAACGATAGCAAAAATCCGTTCCGAAGTCGATTTCTTTCGTTAAAGCGGATACAGCCTTTATCTCGACGATACTTTCGGGGACACGCGTGTCTACGATGTTTTACGATGCACCCACGTTTTAGTACCGGACGAGGTTTCGCTTGGCCGAGCTCCTCAGGGCCTATCTCGTTCTGCTCTTCATTTGTAAGTTATCGCTCGCACAGTGCAAAAGAGAAATTTTTCCCTTTTAGATTTTATGCATTCACGAATTCCAAGCTTTTCTCCTATCTCATAGAATTTAACGAGTGATATAGGGATAATAAATTTATCTTACGAAAAACATTATGTAAAAAAAAAAATGTATATTTGTTATATCTCGAATTATAATCTACATATTTATAAATACACGATATACAAAGAAGATGCACGATGAATGTACATACAAATAGTTTAATTATTTACAGTACTTTACTCACATCAAATAGACAATATATGTATATATATTGTATATGGATGGATATGAAATAATGAATAAACTTAGATACCATTTGATTGGCTAAGCGTAAAAACGTTTCAATCTTGAAAAGGATCTTTGTTAGATCCTCGAAAAATAAATTCTCTAATACTGAACATTATAACTACAGAAAAGTATCTTGAAAGAGACATAGTAAAAGGAAAGCCAAGGAAAACGCTACCGTCGCCGACGTCGCCAGCAACGATGACGACGACGACGACGACGACGACGACGACGTCGTCGGCGACGGTCGGTGGTGCACGGATGAAAACTAAGTCCAGGTTTCATTTGACTGGCTTTACGAGGGAGACATAAAATGGATTTTACTGTCGGCTAGTTCGCCAGTTCTCGAGTTGGTAACATTGCTTTAGCGAACATAATATACCCCACCGCTCCCCTCTCCTCCCCTATAGTCTTTTTCCTCTCTTCCTCCCCTTTCATCTTCTCTTTTCTCTCTCCATTTCGTTTCTCCATCCAGCATTCTCTTGGACTTTTACGAAAAACGAGTTGAGAGCTTTCATTCACGTCCTTTTCTACGATGTTCTGTTCCTCTTCTTTCTTCCTTTCTTTCTATCACATGTCTATATATTTCCTCTTACTTTTCTTCGTTTTCTCAACACCGTCTACCACTACCCTTTCTTGAGCATCCATCCTGAGACATTTCGCGAAGCATCGCGAAACTTTTCGTATGAGATACATCCCGTAACCGGATTTAATATCCGTCCGAATATAACGTCAGGATGATAGCTAACCCGCTCTTCTTGACATCGTTTCCTTCACCTGTCTCGTACGTAAACTAACATTGGCCTTTTCATGTCGTATTATTTTTTAAACAAATGTTTCTTATCTCTCTATTTTTTCCTATTTTTCTTTCTCTCTCACATCAGTCAATTAAAAACAATAACATCTTGCATTTAATATATTATATTAACAGTTTAGAAATTTTCTTATCCAATTTAAATAAAATTCAAGATTAATAGGATTAATATTTTATTGCACGACTAAAAAAGCACAGTTCTTTTTAATAACGTTTTATAGATGAACTGGCTACTTGCAAACGCCCGGCAAATTACGCAAAAGAAACATTGCGTAAGAAGAAAACGTGTGATCAATTTGTTTGCATTACTGCAATTAAGTATTTACTAGCTATATTAAGAGCTGCATCTACAAATTTTAAACTGTATAAGTTATTATTAAACATTGTATGTATATATCGTTCTATTGATGAAGAATGAACTGCGTGGTAACGTAATTAGATTCGAAATTAGATCATTGCATGATAGATAGGATTTTTATCGTCGTTTTAATACTTCTAATCATACAGATGCCATCAAATGATCATTGAATTGTCATTGAGTGGTAAACATTAATAAAATCATTGTTGCCATAAATATAATAGATATTGCAAATAAATACATACATGCATAGGGTACATTGACAAAAAAACATTTTCATATTTTTATAATTCGATCATTTCAGATTGATCGGTGATTAAATCGGCAAGGTGAAGCGATGGGAGACAAAAAGTCAAATCCAGAGGATCCTCCAACATGATTTCGTTCAAAAGAATATGTATTTCGACTCTGTGATCTTGATAAAAGATAACAGGAGAACAAGAAAATGAAAATGTCCATGCACGCGATTGCTATCATATTGAAAAGTGAACGATTTATGTTCTATAAAAGAAAATTTTATGAATTTTTTCTTTAATCGTTGATTCGCGTGATTTCTCTTTTTCATTCCGTTATAAAATAAACTGTAACACACGAGAAATTTATATTTGTTACTAATGTAAAAGATATTTTCTTTCTGTTATCTTTTTCTGATAATAAGTGACGTCAACGTCCTTATTAATTGATCTATTTGTTCTTTTTCTCTCTTTCTCTTTCTATTTCTCTGATATAGTAAGGAAAGTAGCATTTGTCTGCAATTTGTCAAATTATTCGATAAGTATACATGTAGTATATACATTAATAGTATAAGCGTAGTTATGTCAGACGGAGAGATGATTCTCACGGGTCCTCCAATTTAAAATCACGGTCTTGAGACTGTTAGTTATTAAGAACGAATTATTTCCTTCGCCGTATGTTGGGGAACGAAATTGTCCGAGAAAATCATGAAATATTAATTTAATTTGTTAGTCTCTTACATGAGCGTTTGCAAGAAGTGATGTCTGGAATACACTTATAATTGTAAGAGACGAATGCTAAGAATGCCTGGGAATTTCTGAATTTCAATAAAATTTAAAATATGGATTCGATCTAAAATGCTATTATTTAGCAAGTACTCGATATTATATAGCTTTTTTTTTTAATCTTAAATAAAGTCTACATAACTGAAATGTTAATAGATTATATAATTATTTATCGTTCACAAAATTGATGATTTTTAAATTTGAAAAATTTTTAGTAGTCTTTATTTTGTTAATATTCTTTAAAGTTGATGTTCCTATACATATATAGAAGCAAAATTGAATGAGAAGCGCAAAACTGAGAAAAATAAAGTCTCGTAAATCTTGCATTCGTCTCATTTTATATATAATAAACTCATGTGTACCGTTGCCATATACATTCGTTTTTTAAACAATTTAATCCATATTATAAATTTCACCTTCTTATTGTCTGAAAGTTCATATATCGAGGAAAATTCGGTTTTAAGAAAAAAAAATAATATTTAAAATAAAAAAGCAGAAAAAAAATAATTGAGCCTAAAAATAACGATTATTTGTAACGATTATAGAGAATGAAATAAGAATTGAAAGATCGAAAAGAATGAGAATTAGATTTCCATCTTTCTCTTTTTTCTCTCTCTTTTTTCTGAAAATTATTGATGAAAATTTTGTGAAGGAAATAATGTGTAACATCAAAAATAATATTTCTTAGTAATGTTTAGGATTAACATTGAATAATAATGGGGATGATGTTTTAACGTGAAAAGGATGATAGAGACAAATATACCTAATCATAGATTACAATTTGCAACTAGTATAGGTAACCCTCTTATAACATGGTAGATAGGTTCCTAGAAAATACCGTGTTGAGTGAAACCGTGTTATATGAGATTTAAAGTTCATTATTCCTTCGTGTCATTATTTGTAAGGTAATTTAGTGTTTAAATATGTTAAGCAATAATTATGTTATCCAGTGCTGTACCAAGATTTTTGCAATTTTTGTATTGTGTTAGAGCAAAATTGTGTTATAGGATGCAGCGTTGTAGAAGGGTTACCTGTATACATTTCTCCAAGAGAAAATTTTTCTTTCCGTTTCAATCTTACATCAAAAGATTTCTTCATACCTGTATATATAATATATTTCCACAGGATCGTATTCTTTTAACGCAAGAATTAGCTCTCTTAAAGAATAATACAAAACATGTATAATATATATTCTATTTCGTTATCATTAGATACGATTTTTAATTCTCTGCGTTAATCAATATTGATCCGATAACAAAACTTTAAAGAGAAGATAGAATAATGTCACGAGTCAACATATAATTTCTTTTTGTTTTTTTTTAAATAAATATTTCAACATATAAATACATACACAAACACGCGCGCGAACAGAACAGAACAGAAATTAAATAATAATAGTTATTAAAGTAAAAAAGTAATACATTGTATACGAAGAGATAATAGATATGCACGAGAATTTGTCGATAACATATATACTTACACGAAACGGATTAATCTAGATTAAGGATGATTTTTGTCTTTATTTTTTTTACAATAATATTAATTAATTGTTACATTAATGTGATTTTAACGTATCTATGTCTAACTGATTAATTTGATTATCAATTTGATTATTATCGTGAAAAAATTCGAATCGATAGTAGTGTATAACAGGGTTTTTCAAATTTGTTCACTGACTAATTATTTTTATTTGAGCGACTCTGAGATATAAATTTTATATTATCTTCTCTTTTATTATCATAAATTCACAAACATACTATGAGCGCAATATTGTCAAACTAGTTTTATATGAAATCGTTATGCATCCAGAAATTTGTTAGTTTTGCTCAAATTTTTAGGATTCCCAAATTTAGTGACACGACCTCATGTATAGGATCGCGATCCATACTTTGAAAAGCCTTGGCATGTAATAATACAGCTCGGTAAGTTTTTCATTTCTTCACTGAAACGTGTGTAGTATATATGTATAAGCGAAGTGTTGCACGGCACGTACATCGAACATGAAAGAAATGCAAATGAATGTTGTGCCAGAGAAGGACTTTGTACATCGTAAAACAACCGTATCCGTTTTTATTTTTTATAGCTTGTAACCAATTGGAAAAGAATATGGTAATTTCAATGAAAAGAAGTACGATCCATGCACCTCTAATTAATACGATCTTACCTACCTGTATTCGTACTTACATTCTTGTTCGTTGTAGTTATTTATTCAACAAATCTTCAGAGATAGATCATCCATGCCACGTGGTAAAGAGAGTAATATGCTAAAGATGTTGAAATAGGTATGTACTTATGTGACAGAAAATAAATATGGAAAAAAGAAATAGAATCACGAGGCATGTATTGATCGTTCTTCAAAGATTGATTTTACTTGGAGTAATTTTAATTGTTATACATATTATATAGCGTATAAATAAATGCTGATAGTGTCATGCGTGCTTAATGTGAACCTTTTAAATGTATCTCTTATAATAATTACAAAAATTGAGATAAGTATAGATAATAGTTTTTCTTATGTTTATTGTTATGTATAATAATTGACATTGTTGCGAAATTTATTTAATTTTTCAATTTTTACACCCTTCTCTATGTTATTACTCTTCGTTAAATGTAAATAAAAAGCCCATTGCATAAAGATTTTTCATAACATTTTACAGCTGATTAAAATACTATATCTCTTAGTAAATTTCAACATATATTTGATTTTTTATAAAATGTTCAATAGCAAATAACCCTACTAACATTTTTTCTTTGCACATTCACATTACAGCTGAAATTTATAGTTCTTCGGAAAATTACAATAATAGTAATAATAGTAATTTAATACCTCGTCGGTGGATGAAGAGAGTAACACAATTTAAAAAGAAAATATCTAGAGACTTCCAATATTAGGAGAAAAAATTTTTGTAAGTATTAAACGCGATGCGACTTTACTGGAAACACTACGGATTAAGGTTCTCATCGCATGTATGTATTTGAACTTACTTTCTTGTGCCATCATCTGCACGCGACCACTTCTCACAACGATCATGATAACATATGAACTACCTTTTATTATTATGTACACGAACATCTCGACAGGCAAGTATTATGTATATGGAATAGTTTTTATTAAAATTATTTTGTTGTTGTATAAAATTACAAGAAATTCAGCGAAAGATTGATAGTCATGCTCTGAGAGCGTAATTTTAATTATTCTCTAATTAATAGATTCTTTATTTCTACTTATTTCATGTAGTTTCTGCATAACGATTATTTACACGTTCCTGAATGAATTTTACAGGCCGATAAGCAATCTAATTATGGCAACATACACGTGCATTAAAAATCTGATAACGTTAAAATGTATCTACCTAATTATGGTTACAATGTGTATGAGTTTTTTACTTGAAGATATTTTAACAATAAAAATCACACAAGGTTATGTCAACTCAACGATTTATATTCCAACGATCGTTTATTCTAATCATTACATCTAACTTGTTTCAATAATTCTCTTCGATTTATATCAAATCACTCTTATTGCTACTCAAGTCGCAAAAAATTTAGTAATTATTCCAACGAGATCTTACTCATTATCAATAAATAATTTCTATTATGCAGTTATATATTATAATACTTTAGTTTGTATATCAAACATGGTATTTCCAGATGTTACGTTCAAGTAACAAATGATAATCAATTTGTAAATTTATACAATGTGATTTAAATTACAAAATGAAGGGAAAAAATAAAAGATACAGTTTATACAAAAGTTCGATGCATTTATTGTTATATCGTATAATGTGTAGATGAAATAAGAGAACCAATTATAATAAGGTGTTGTTTACAAGCCCTCAGTTGCTTTAAATTAGCATGGTCATACAATCCGGTATCTTTCATTGATTGACCAAAGCCCAAGGTTACCGAGTACATCGCAAAATATCTACATAATCTGTGAAGGTATCATTATGGATACGTCTAACACGCCAGATAACAGCCAAACTCGTTGGTGGGCGTCAGTGATTTAATTAATTTCCTCGAGCAAATCGGCAGAATCTTACTTGTGAAACTGGTAAGTACGTGTTTTTTACAAAATGGACCTTTTTTATATTTTGCAATAGTAGGAAAAAGTTTAATAAGTTAATAAGTTAAACTTTAAATATGAATATTTAAAATTGATCGCGAATGCATATATTTAAATTGTTATCTAACGAGTTTAATAGTAATATTATATACTCTGTTAAGCAAAGGGAAGTACTCAGCATACTATAAAATAGCAAGAACATTGCATCAAGAATACTTATATACCTATACATCATTCGACTATTGAATCATTGTTTGCAATGTGATCTATCATTTACAGAGTTTTAACAAAACCAATTGTATTTAGGCAAGTATGTGTTTTCTTTTTAAGAATAAAATTCGAATAATTTGGTTTATTATACTAATATAAGATTAAAAATGATATATTTAATATTTCTAATAAATTATTTATTTCGTTATTAATTCTTTGGATTATGAAGTCATCATTATTTATAGTATTTTTTTCTATAACTTTTGAGTTATTTTCGATTTGATACTTACTTAATCAAAAAAATTTGTACAAAACAATTTTACTTAATAATTGCTATTAAAAGTAAAAGTTGGTTGATTATGAGACGAAACTTATAAGGAAAACTAGTTATAGGGTAAAACGTTAAGATAAATTGTATAAGCGAATAATATAGAAGTAAAAAATTTAATATTGTCTAGAAATATCTAATAAATAATATGTGCTATTTTCATATTTTATTTCTTTTTTTATTAAATTAAAATATTTAAACAAGTAAATACGAAAAGTTGAAATTACCTCCAGTTTGCTTATCATTAATGTAAGAGATCTTTTTTATCGACTGCGTTCATAGATACAAGTTACGTATCATTTTCGCTAGGTGTAACTTCGATCGCGGTGAATATCTAATAACATTTAATACTAACCAGTTTAATTTAAAAATGTTAATATGTTTCTTTTTATAATGCAATTAACGTGACTAATATAATACACAGAAAATATTAGAATTTAAGAATATATTTCTTATTGTGAATCTCGTTTACAATTATCGTTACATTGTTAAAAACAAGTCCGTGAAGTGTTTTCTAACCTCTAAATAATTTAGTAATATATTTGTTAATACAACTTATAAAACTATTAACTGGTAAATATAATAATATATTTTATTTTTAACCTAAGAATACACAATAAAGCTTTTCATTTTTTAAACATATTTATAATTAATAATTATCTATGCTTAATTTTATATATTATTTTGTTGCAATGCATGTAGTACTATTTTGATTATTGTTTATTCTTTATAATTTAATTTCAGTAACTATGAATCCAGATATACAGAAGAAAATTCTACAATTTGAAGCTTTTATAAATGACGTGCTGAAGACTGATCTTGCTAAATTAGAAGAAAAACTTAATAGTAAAAATACAGATATTGCTGAATTTATTCAGCTAAAGACCATTATTACTACCTTACAATCCAATGGTTTTAATAAAAGTGGTTTTAAGACTCAAGTAGATATTGGAAACAATTTTTATGTTGAAGCTAATGTTGAAGATGCTTCAAATATTCTATTAGATGTTGGCTTAGGACACTATGTTGAATTTAGTTTAGAGGAAGCTTTAATTATAATCAATGTTAGAATAAAACTTTTTGAAAAACAAATAACTCATATTAGGAAACAAATTGCAAGAACTAATGCCCATATAAAGTTAATTTTAATAGGTATCAGAGACTTACAAGGATTAAGATAGTATATGTGTTACTAAATTGTACAAATTAGCGATTATACTTTCAATTAGGTCTTGTAAGATATACATATATCTTAAAAATCCTAAGTCTTTATAAAATGTATTTTTAAAAATAAATAGATACTTATATTTCAAGTACTCATAGTAATAATTTATTGTTTTGGTAATTATTAAATTATATAGTTATATTAAAAAGTCATATTTAAAAGACTTTGTATTTTCCGTACAAATTAATTATGTTGGGGACATTGAATGATTCAGTATTGTATAGAGATGTTGCATTGTTTCCTTGTTAAGTGTAATTGTGGAACTTTATGAAGACCTTGTAGTTAGTTTATATATATCAGAGGTTGGTTAAAAATGAACCAGTGTATTTTGCGTTGTTCGGTTATCAACGTTTATAAGGTCTTGTGTACAACATAATTTTTCATTTTTTTCGAGATAGTCAACAAATCATTCATGTCTGATTGGCGAAGTATACCTTCTGAAAATAAGCATAGAGAATTTCTTGAGAAATTCAGTTCTAATTTAATTGATTTTGCGTTTAAAAGCGTATCTCGAAATAATCCTGTCTCAAGATGGAGAGATGCAAATTATTTGCAAGAAATTTTAAATTTTGATTTGTTAGAAGAACCAAAATCACAAAATGATTTATTATTGGCAGCAAATAAGATCTTGAAATATAGCGTTAAAACTGGCCATCCATATTTTATGAATCAACTCTTCTCTGGGTGAGTTTTAATTATGATTCTAATATTATACCTATGACAAAAATGATTATTAATTATTTTATATTTATTTGCGTAGATTAGATCCTTATGGCTTGGCAGGACAATGGTTGACTGATATCCTAAATGCTTCAGTATACACATACGAAGTAGCACCTGTACTAACTTTAATGGAGAAAACCTTGATTAAAAAATTATTGTCTATGTTTTATAAAAATGATAATGGATCTGAATTGGGTGATGGATTGTTTTGTCCAGGTGGATCTTTTGCGAATGGAACGGCTATTAATTTGGGACGATTTTCTTTTAGATGTGAAAACAAGGTAATTATTCTGATTTCATTTATTGCATAAAAGAAATATGTATATTGATATATAAAATTAATCATTTTTTATAAGGATTTGATGGAAAAGCCAATTCTCTTTGCCTCGGAAGATGCTCACTATTCAGTATCAAAATGGGCAAACGTTTGCAATGTAAATGTCGTTTTTGTGAAAACGGATGATTTAGGTCGAATGAGCGTAGATGATTTGAAGACTTCTATTCGACAAGAACAAGAAAAAGGCAGTTCTTTGTTTATGGTCTTCGCCACTGCTGGTAATTATTCTTATACAATAAAAATAAAATTATGTAGTAACTATGTACTATCATCCACTAAATTTTCGAAATCTTAGGAACGACAGTATTAGGAGCTTTCGATCCATTGATCGAAATAGCAGATATTTGTCAGGATTTAAAAATGTGGTTGCACGTCGATGCAGCCTGGGGTGGTGGCTTAATATTCAGTAAAAAGCACAGTGGTCTTTTAAGAGGAATAGAAAGAGCTGATTCTATTTTATTTAATCCTCACAAGTTACTTGCTGTTCCACAACAGTGTTCCTTACTTTTGACAAAGCATAATGATATTCTGACTAAAGCACATTCTAAGGGAGCTACTTATTTGTTTCAAAAGGATAAATTTTACTCTGCAGAGTTAGACCCTGGGGACAAGTATCTACAATGTGGGCGCAGAGCAGATGTTTTGAAATTTTGGTTTATGTGGCAGGCTAAGGTAATTAAATGTTTTGTTTGATGCATATCTATAAATCTTTTTTTATAAAATATATTTTAAATGCTGCTAGTAGTGTCATAAGTGTATATTATGTGAATCATATTCGAGGTATATTTGAAGTATCTTTGTCGATGCGAAGCTAAGACTTACGCATATCAGAGAAGTGCTTCTCTCTTTCCCCGTATTAGATTTTGAATGCAACCACTTATGCAAATATGTAGAAAACTAGCCTTCATAGCACTTTTTTCCCCTGCCTTCTTTTAAGCGTAGATCTTGTACTTTGACATTTAAGCCGTTCTGGTTGAGGCGCACTCCGTTGAAGTAAAAGGCTTGCATGTTCTGTATAAAGTGTTTGCCGGTGTACTTATGCATATATTAATCTCCCCTGTAGGGATTCAGAATTGTCCATACCTTATTCATTCAGTGCCTTTTTAAGATTCCGAAAGAAGTGTCTGAATTTTTCAAAAGTTTAGCCGATAGCGGAGTTTTGGTCAAATAAGTTTTCGAAGTCTTTTCGCAGAAGCTAGTAAGAATCTATTAAACTGGTGAATAACTCGATCAATTTAACTTAATGATAATTGGAATGTAATGCATTGTTTTTTCAAAATATATATTATACTATAATATATATATATATATAATTACTATAGTTGAATACAGGCAAACCTGTTTTTATGCGGAGGATAGGGACCGTATAAAAAAAGTCGCACTTACAAAATACATCAATTATTTACGAAATAAATCAGAAAATGCTTTCAAACAAATTAAATAAATAAATTAGACTTGGAAATATTTTAAAAACATTTAATTTTTCATTGTATACATGGAGAAATTTTTAAAAGTCACATTAAATACTCACTGCTACTCGTAATCCAAAACGCGCATCTTCTTGTGACGAATTGGTTCAATATCTCTTTCGTCGCTTGAAGATACGATTTCAATTAATTTTGGCACCATAAAGTCAATGATTATTTTTTATGACGTCGGTCGATTGGTCAGTTGCTTGTACATGTCACAATAACAAGAAATGCATGATCTTAGCTCTTTTTAAAATTTTAAGCTTCTTTCGGAATTAATATAATATATTTTAAGAAAATGCGTTTTCAATTTTTTAGAAATCTGGATTTCTGCATATATTTTATCGGCTGTAATAGATTCCAGTTCTTCTTGTCCGTCTTCATAATCTATCAAATTATTGATAATGTCACTATTATTGACAATTTCGTTCTCAATCATTTTGTCCAGATCATTTTCGCCGAAAGTATCAAAGCCCTCTCCGCTGATGTTATGTGTAATTTTAGATAATAACGTGGACGCGTTTTCGATTACATTTCGATTAATTACACATTCAGGCCAGATCGCTTTCCAGCACGAATTTAATGTTTGTTGTTTTATTTGACCAATTGGTTTATGCAGTCTAAAATTGAGAACTTTTTCCAAACTTCAGTCAGGCCTAATTCAACGTTCTCTAGTTTTTTTTAGAATGTAGCTAAAAGTTAATTTGACATAATGTTTCTTAAAATTTGCGATTATGCCCTAATCCAATGGTTGTATAAGACTCCATTATCGTCAAAGTGTTCACGTAGTCAGGGTTTATCTACACATGTATATGTATACTGATAGGAAACATTAACCTAGTACCAACGCCGCTGAGATTCATATACGGCATACAAAAAAAATCACACAAAACAAATCGCACAAAAATAGGATTGCATAGAAAAGGACCGCACAAAAACAGGTTTTACTGTATCTGGTATAGTTATTTTAATGCTTTCTTTGATTTTCTTTTAAAAGTGATCTAATTTTATATTATAGAATGTATTTAAATTATGTAAATAATTTATATTATAAAATCTCTTTTTTTTTTTCATTTAATTATCAGCTAAATATAAAAGTGAGTTTAGGACTTGAAAAATTATAGGATTAAATTTCATGTATATTCTATTGAATAAGTATATGAAGACAAAACGCATGATTTTTTACTTCTTTTTATATCATTTATTTGAATTTAGTAGAGATTTCAGAATGTGCCTAATACTGGAACTTTGGTCATCTGGGGTAAAATTTTTGAACAGGTTAACAACTTTAGGTATATCTAGGATCGATCATAAACCAGACGAACGAAATTAACGAAGAACTTAAGAAAAGAATCAATCTAAGCAATGCATACTTTTATTAGGTCAATAAATTACTCAGCTCGCGGTTACTGTCTAGGCGCTTAAAAATCAGGATATACAAGACGATCATCCTACCTGTAGTCTTATGATAGCGAAACGTGGTCGCTTACGTTACGAACTTTACGTTACGCTTTACGTTACGGGACGAAAAGAAATTTAAGGTTTTCGGAAACAAAGTTCTTCGTAAAATCTTCGTTGCAAAACGCGATGAGGAATGGAGAAAACTCCATAACGTAGAAGTACATTGACTGTACAACAAAACGGACATAATTAACGTTGTAAAATAACGCCGATTAAGATGGGCTAGTCACGTGACGCGCGTGGGGGGAGGAACGAACGGTAAAATACTGGTCGGTATACCGAACGGAAAAAGACCATTAGATAGACCGAGACGTAGATGGGAAGACAATATTAGAAGGGATCTTAACCCTTTCGCTACTACGAGCGACTATAGTCGCTCTCCATGTGATGCCACTCAGGTACTACGGGCGACTATAGTCGTTTTCCATGTGATGCCACTCAGGTACTACGGGCGACTATAGTCGCTTTCCATGTGATGCCGCTGAGATACTACGAGCGGCTATAGTCGCTCCCGCTAAAGATGCGCGTAATTGTATATATGATAAGCGCCTGCAGTTGCTATGCACAGAGTATCTCACTCTA